ATCATCCATACATCTTTTTTTTTTTTTAGAAAAATTCTGTTATCAGGTTTTTGAAGAGCATTTATTTGTTCATCTCTCAGTCATCATTGTATTGGATTGCATTATATGATTCGCCCCCTACAATGAAAACCACAGAACATCAAACATAAAACTAAGCATTAAAATATCCTCTTTTCATGATGTATTATTGGGAGATAGAGAATGACAACTGATATTCATATGCATTGTTTTGAAAAGTAGTCTGCTATATTGTTTTTAAAAATGTCATTAATTTACATTACAAGCTGTCAGAATTCCATCTTACTTTTTGGCCATATAAATATCAGCAACTGCACCAAATTGCATGTTTTTGTTCAGTATGGGCCTCTGAATAAAAAGTCAAGAGTATGAGCTCCATATTCATATCATACTATATGGGCCATAAAAACATGATGTATCAAATATGAAAAACATTTTTTGTTGAGTAAAAGCTGACATGAAACTATAGCCCGAAATTGAGCCAGTAGATAAAACAATTATAATAATAAATTAATTATTATTATGATTGTTTTATCTAATGCTCAATAAACTACATTTCTAAATAAAATTTGGGGGGGCTATAGTTTCATGTCAGCTTTTACAGGGTTAATGGAGCTTCCGATTAGGTCTTTTATAAGAAGTTTATATGAGAAATAAAAAAATAGACACAAACTGAAAGAGTATAGAGCTATCAAACAAACAGCATTGTTTGGATAACTTGGTCTTTACCAGAATCTCATGAGAAATGTTTGAGTTCATTTTGAGATCTCCGACTGTTTTGATTTGAGCACAGATTGAGATTCTGAAACTCAAGAATAGACATGTGAGTCTTTTTTTCTTTGGAGACAAAAATCGGAGAGTTGGGAAACCTGCTCTCCATTTAATCTCATTGCCGTCTAGGAGAAACAATTCAGATCTCATTAATGGTTTTTCTTCATTGCTAACACCAAACAAAGCATGTAACAAAATCAAATATATGAGAGCACTAATCAATCATTTGTTTGATGCATTATTGAAGGTATGCCTCAATATCATGTTCCAATAGACCTGGTGAAGTTAATTAGTTTGTATAGCTTCACTCTATGCAGACATACAGTACTGGTTATTAATTACATTAATTATTCACAATCTTTTGGGTGGATGTGCTTTTAAGGTGTGTGCATGTACTGAGCTACAAGCACAGCACGCATGTTTATGTGACAGGAGTATGTACTGTGATATGATTCCTTTCTGGTCCTCAAGGGAGAGTCCTGAGATGTGAGGAGAATTCCAAAGAGGAAATCTGGGGGATTTTCCCACATCGGCAGGCTGATCATGATTCCCACTTACACATGCACAGAATTCTGAAAGTGTGTGTGTGTGTGTGTTTTTTTTTTTTTAAATGGTTGTGCTTCTTGGAGTGTATGAGATTATTAAAATATGTCTTTAGACAATTAAACAAAACGATGACGTCCATGAATTTTAACATCAGTTCAAATGAAACCTGCACAAAAATATTGTGGACATCTTCTGATCTGATTATATCTCTGTCCAGTTGTTTTGTGGGAGATGGAGGCTGTGTGTGAAGAGAGAGATCCAGGTTTGCACGGGATTATGGGAGCTGTGTGTGTTGATTGGAGGAACCGGTTCTGTGTTACCTCACCAAATATAAGGTAAGACTCAACATACCAATGCTGAATGAAAGATGAATTCATTATCTACTGGATCAAGTCAAAAGCTTTTCACAGCCAAATACAGTCACATGATAATTAAATAGTTAGTAAAAAGAAGATATAATACAGGTTATATTACATTTCTCAGACCTGCTACTACCCACTTACCAGGTCTTCTTTCTTCTCTCATCCTGTAGCTTCACATTCTTACTGACAGAGGAAGACAAACCTCAAGCACCTGAGGTAAAACACTCTAAAACAGCACATCATCTATGCATATCCTAACTTTAAATGTCATAAAGCTATTATTTTAATTTCCTTCAAATGTAATCTTTATCGCTTCAAGCAAACATACGGCTAACGATGAAAATTAATTTACTTCCCCTTATGTCATTCACAACCTGTATCACACGAAAGGTAAATATTTCAAGAATATTCTTATGACAGTTTTTTCAATGCAATGAAAGTGAGTAAGTACTAGGGCTGTCAAGGTTTAAATTGACAAAAAGAAACACAAACAATGTCATTACACTAGTCCATATGACTAATGGGCTATATTCAATTTCTTCTGATGTCATATGATTCAATATTTAAGTAATTATTCACTGATAATCTGCCTTAGGTCTTCCTGGCACACGGTTGATGCAGTTTGCAACACAAGTCTGAATGATTTGTTTTCAAGTTGGCCGGATACTTGTTGATGCTCAATAATCTGGTTGCAGCGGTTGGTTACCAGCTCACTGGAGGGGGAGATCAGTTTTAGTTTTTGTAGTTTAGAGCTTCGTTAATCCCCTTTAGTTCAGTGGTGCATCACATATGCGATCAACACTTAACAAATACACATACAAATACTCAAAATACATAAAAAAAAATAGAAGGAAAAAAAAACAACTAAATTTATTACATAAACATATTGCTTCAGGCACAAAAGTTAATATGTAACGATTTGTAAAACATCTGATTGTCCTTAAATGTCGCCCAAGGGGCATCCACTCAAAATAATAATGCAAAGGGTGTGTGCTGTCTCCTATTATTTTATGTGCCATCCTCATCACTTGCTGTTCATAATCAAATGTAAGACTTCGCAAGGAAGCACCCATAATTCGTGCGCACATATTAACAATGCCTTGCAAACAATTTGTGTTCTTTATAGACAATTATGAAAACAAACAAATAAAGGAAAAGGACAGGATACTTTAAACAAATGAATTAAAAAAAGACCTGTGAATAACTCTCTGTACATTGAACGAGTTAAGCTTCCTCAGCACAAACAATCTTTGGTGTGACGTTTTAATAATTGTATCCATATTTTGATCAAACTTCAACCTGTTATCAATAATCATTCCTAAATACTTATATTCCTCTACTACATCCACCTGTGTGTCATTAATGACCACCTGTTGAAGTGCAAGTGTATTCTTACTAAAATTGGTGATCATCTCTTTAGTTTTTGATACATTTAGATCTAATTACATCCTATTACATCACAAAATAAAATCATACAAAACTGAACCATATTCCTGGTCTGAATATGAAAGCAAGGACAGAAGCACAGTATCATCCGCATATTTGACCAAATAACTGTTGTCTTGTAAACTCTGACATTCATTTGTGTATAATATTAAAGGGGTCATATGATGCTTTTTTAAAGATCATTATTTTGTGTATTTGGTGTAACAGAATATGTTGACATGCTTTAATGTTCAAAAAACACATTATTTTTCAAATACTGTACATTATTGTAGGTCCTATATGCCCCGCCTCTCTCAAACACGTCGTTTTCTACATTTTATGTGCCATCCTCATCACTTGCTGTTCATAATCAAATGTAAGACTTCGCAAGGAAGCACCCATAATTCGTGCGCACATATTAACAATGCCTTGCAAACAATTTGTGTTCTTTATAGACAATTATGAAAACAAACAAATAAAGGAAAAGGACAGGATACTTTAAACAAATGAATTAAAAAAAGACCTGTGAATAACTCTCTGTACATTGAACGAGTTAAGCTTCCTCAGCACAAACAATCTTTGGTGTGACGTTTTAATAATTGTATCCATATTTTGATCAAACTTCAACCTGTTATCAATAATCATTCCTAAATACTTATATTCCTCTACTACATCCACCTGTGTGTCATTAATGACCACCTGTTGAAGTGCAAGTGTATTCTTACTAAAATTGGTGATCATCTCTTTAGTTTTTGATACATTTAGATCTAATTACATCCTATTACATCACAAAATAAAATCATACAAAACTGAACCATATTCCTGGTCTGAATATGAATATGAATATTGCATTATTATTTTGAGTGGATGCCCCTTGGGCGACATTTAAGGACACCCAGATGTTTTACAAATTGTTACAAATTAACTTTTGTGCCTGAAGCAATATGTTTATGTAATAAATTTAGTTTTTTTTTTCCTTCTATATTTTTGTATGTATATTTTTCATCCTATTACACCACAAAATATAATCGTACAAAACTGAACCATATTCCTGGTCTGAATATGAAAGCAAGGACAGAAGCACAGTATCATCCGCATATTTGACCAAATAACTGTTGTCTTGTAAACTCTGACATTCATTTGTGTATAATATTAAAAAATTAGGAGAAAGTACACAACCTTGTGGTGAACCTATAGAAATGTTTATTGTATCCGATAAAACCTCATTTTGCATCATCTACACCTCTTCTAGCTTGATCTCTGATTGGCCAGCTGACCCAGTGCATTGTGATTGGTTGAACACCGCAAGCACTCGTCGGAAATCTAACGCCCCTTACCATAATCACGAGCTTCATATTTCAAAATAAATGTAAAGACAGAGCCCAAAGGGGAACAGAGTCGCGTGACAGACACAGTGATGAAGCTGGTATGTGTTTGTGATGTGACCCCCACGGTTAAGACAGCTGACTCCACTGTGATGTGACTCTCTCTCTCTCTCTCTCAAAACTGAACCATATTCCTGGTCTGAATATGAAAGCAAGGACAGAAGCACAGTATCATCCGCATATTTGACCAAATAACTGTTGTCTTGTAAACTCTGACATTCATTTGTGTATAATATTAAAAAATTAGGAGAAAGTACACAACCTTGTGGTGAACCTATAGAAATGTTTATTGTGTCCGATAAAACCTCATTTTGCATCATCTACACCTCTTCTCTCGTGATATGCAAACTGCATTGGATCTAGGACTGGTCCAGCGACCGTCATCATATGCTTTATGATCTGTTTTTCAAAAGCTTTCATGACCAAAGAGGTCAAGGCAATCGGACGGTAATCATTCAACAATTCTGGCTTAGCTTTTTTGGGTATTGGTACAATAATTGAGCTTTTTCATGGATCAGTACCAAATTCATTGTACTTATTAGATAAAATGAAATTAGTATCATAATTCTCCATTGTCTTATGCTGATTTGATACCCCTGTACTTACTGCAGCCATACTCTTAATTCCTTTCCAGGCGACTTTAAGATTACCATGCATAAACATACCCTCAATCTTATTTTTATAATTACTTTTAGCAATTTTAATTGCCATTTTAACTTCCCTATTTATCTGTTGTTGTTTTTTCTCCTCATCAGTCCCCGATAGAAATACTCTCTTCTTCATATTCAGTATACTTTTTTAATTAAATCCTTCGGTTTATTATTAGGATACAAAGTGATCTTTTTAGTAGGTATAACAAAATCAACACAGAAATTAATATATTTAGAAATGGTAAGCACCTGTTTGTTAAGATCAGAACATGTGTTAAAAACAGATTCCAATCTGTGGAATCAAAACAACCCCTTAAAACTTGAACAAAAAGAAAAGTTGAACAAATCGTATCTCTCTCTTTACTTGCTTTACAATAGGAATGTACACAAGATTATATTATGATCAGATGAACCAAGAGGAGCTCCCGAAATCAGGCCATAACATCTATCCAAAACTTTATCAGCGCATGTAACATATTGATAATAGCCCTTTAGATATTAATCCATAATACAATGGTTAAAATCACCTAAAATAAATTTAGGTACATCTGGAGATATATTATCCAGTTTATCCAGGGCATTTGAGGGAACTCACGAGGAAGATAAAAAGGACATAAAGAAACTGCAATGAGTTCAGTATCTGAATTACAAATCTTATGTCGTACTATTGCTGTATTACACCAACTTTCCTTAATATAAACACACACACCTCCTCGGCATTCTTTCCCTGTTGTATCTTTGTCTCTGTTCAGCCTGATCCATAAAGTGCTATCAGCAACTGAATCATCCAACCATGTTTCGGTGAATGGCATCATATGCCTGCTTCTGTATTCGTGCATGGAACTCACATCGGCTTGTAATTCATCCAATTTGTGGCAAAGCGAGCGTGCATTGCCTAAAAGTATTCCAGGCAGCGGAGTAAATCTTTGAACCCTCTTTAGTTTACGTTGAACTCCACCTCGTTGAACTCCGTTGAACGTTGAACTCCACCTCGATTCCACCTCGAATGCACACAAGTCATATGAAGTAATGGTACTTTTGTGGTTTTTGTGTCCCTTCTATAGTTTACAGTTCTCATTCATTGTGTTTGCATGGAGAAAAATGACCAGTACATTATTCAGTTCCCTCCTTTTATGTGTGCAAATCTAGAGTTTTTTTGTTTTTTTGTAGTTTTACATGCTAAGTGATACTGAACAGTACTATATTAAGAATGCATAAATGTTTATTTATTTTGAAGTCACATTCAAAATGATTCATACAGTTTCAGTCAGAAAGAATATGGTCAGCTGCCAATATTGAGAGATGTGGTGATGGCGGAAACATATTTCAGTTGAAGTCCATCTTTTGAATTTGCAGGTTACAAATACACCCCCATCCAAACTTTATCACCTCCTTCATGAATTCATTGTACCACAATCATATGCAGAGGTACAAAGATTAATTTATATAATGGCTCATGAGTTGTGGGCATCTGTCCATGAGTCCATGTCCATGAGTGTTGTTCCTATTGCCCTCACAGAGAAAAATCTAGACTGCCCACTCTCCTGTGATGTCATTCTGAGTTTACATGACAAATGGCAAGGAACACCATCAGGTCACCACTGACACCACAGACAAAATCAAACCCTGAAAACACACACACACACACACACAAAAAAAAACCCTGTCCATGGACCAAGAGATGCTTCAAGGATATCAACTATGTGCCAAAACCTTTTTTATATTAGATTATTTTCATAGTAAAAAGAATAGACAATAGACATTAGTCAGGTTCCGTATAAATCACAGTGTATAAGAGACACAACTCATATTCTCCACTAAGCAATGATATATGTTTCAATGTGAATTCAACATTTAATAACAATATCCTGTTAAATTGTCATATTTCTGGTGAATAACTACACTATCCATAATCCTGAAGGGAGCTCCACCAATCACAGAATCGCTGCACAGAAACTATAAAATGTGAGGAAAAAAATATAATTGTAAGTTTTCTGATAAAAATTGAAATTAAAATGCCATTTAAAAAATCCTGAATTTGCTCTGCTTATTGTAGGTCTGCACAGTTTGGCAACATTTCTTGTGATTATCAATATGGCTATAAAATTATATTAATAATTATA